CCCTGTAGAGCTTAGGAAAGTCCAGACACCGTGTTTAAACAGCTCACAGGGGGAACTGGGTAAATGGAAGGTGGAAGGGAATGCCCTCCACATAGTCTCCTGTCTGACCACAGTCCCCCCAGAACCACCTCTCTGTTGGCTATTCTAAGCCTTAGCCATGCTGGGATGTTAATCAGAGAGGCTCAGGAAGCCGGACCCTGCAGCCTATAAGAGAAGTCCACAGAGAGCAGCAGCAACAGCCATTGGCACAGGGCTCCGGGCCATCTGCATTCACAGCTGCACCCTGTCAATCACAGGCCAAGTAGCCCAGTTCCCCACCCAGGCTGCATGCTTTTCCACCACCGCAAGCCCAGCTCGATGAACTCTCAAGCCTGCCCCAGTTAGGAAAAACAAGGCTAGAGGGGAAAGAAGGGGAGGGAGAGAGAGAGAGAGAGACAGTAGAGAGAGAGAGAGAGAGAGAGAGAGAGAGAGAGAGAGAGAGAAAGTGAGACATACCTGTCCCCTTGCCTCCCCCTGACAGGACAGACCCTCCCAACTCTTCTTGGGGCCTCCCCGCTCCATCCCCTAGCAGGACCACTCCATCCCCTAGCAGCCTGTCCCCAGGAGGTGACCTTGGCATTGCTGTGGCCAGCCTGAGGGCATCCTGATTCTCCTACTGAAGCCCCAAGGCACTGCTGTACCTGCCAAGTAGCCCCTTTGCCCGTTTCCTATGCGCTTCCAGGCCCCTGCTGATACATCCTAATGAGGTAAGGTCCACACACAGCCACACAACCCCACCCAGAGGGGCACACACAAGAAGAAAGCGGGTGAGTCCTACCCGAGGTCCTGGCTTCCCAGGCAGGCCGCCTTCCCCAGGGTCCCCTGGTTCTCCCTGTAGGAAGGTAAAGCAGGGTCAACACGAAAAGCACCAAGTCTGGGTTGAACACCCGCATCTGTTGGTTCCCGTCCACCTGGGCATCGGTGGCTCTGAACCCTAATTCTTTGTGGTTAACTATGCCCACACTACCTGCTCGTTCCCTATTCCACAGCCATGTTTCTTGAAACACGAAACAGTGGACATAGCACTACTTTCCAAAGTACTTGATCATCCATTGTCCTCTGAGAGACGAGGAGACAAGTAGAGCTACCTGCGTGGTCTTAAATGGTGACCTCCCAAAGACTCCAAATCAACACACCACAGAGACCATCCCAAAAACCAACCATGGGATGAGCCTAGGTGTCCGTCAGCAGACGAATGAATAAGAGGAAGTGTGACATACGTTACATGTATGCACACATGTATGCATGTATATCCACAATGGGCTTTTATTCAGCCATAAAGAATGAAATTATATATGTTATTTTCTAGGAAAACAATGTAACTACAGATCATGTTAAGTGAAGTCAGTCAGATTTAGGAAAACAGATGCCATGTGCTCTCTCTTACTTGTGGTTCCTAGATTTCCTATAAATACTTACGATCATGGTAGGAGCCAGGCTGTGAGAAGGGATGGAGGTTACAGGGGAAGGACCCAAGGGAAGGGTACGAATCTAGTTGAAGCCTGAGATAAACTTCAATAATAATGTCCTTGTGAAACCCATCACTATGTACAAAGAACATACACAAATAAAATGATTGTGTATCCACACTTATTCTACATTTTGTTATGAGAAATCTGAGTCCATGTTTATCGGAAAAGAACAATGAATTTTCCCATAACATGAAACTGCCTTCGACAGTTGCCTCTCCAGGGCCGTGGCCTGGCACGCTGAACGGACACACATTACAATGAAAGAAGACAGTTTGTTTGTCAAAACTGCCCATTACTACTTGTTCACTTGATGTGTTTAAACTGTGAATTTAGCTTCCCATTTCTGGTATCTAACCTCTCACTTCCCTCCCTTCAGACCCCTGTTCTAATGAGCTCGGCTGCAGTATTTTTAGAACTGAAGTCTCCCACGTTGGTAAGGGTCACTGAAAGTTTGACTCCAGTAAAAATAAGATAAATACTTACAGCATGTTGATTTTGAAGCCCAAAGATTTCAGCTCCATCCTTGGTTATGTAAGAAGTAAACAGCTCTCCTTCACCTGACCTTGGAAAGTCAAACATTTCTCCTACGTCCTGGTCAAAGCCCAGGTGCTCATCTCATTTTAGAACTCAGTCATGAGGAACCTCCTTTGCTCCTGTGTTTTTGGTTCCCAAACTCTTTCCACCCTCTAAGTACTGACCTTGGAGCCGGGCAGGCCTGGTGGTCCATTCAGCCCATCCCTTCCAGGTGGCCCCTGGACCAAGAGAGGAAAGAGAGAAAATGAAAACAAACACGCAGGCAGGGAAGCCTCGTGGGAAGTTGTCTACAACCCGAAATACTACTCGAAAGCCAGACTGGGTTGCACGGGCACACCCACTTACAAGCTGTGTCCTCTCCCCACAGAGAACTTTCTCTGCTAGCCAGGCTTTCCTTCCTGCCGGGACTATACAATTAAGTCCCTCATGTCAACAATACCCTGGTTCCTTTCCTAGACATGCAGGTGAGTGAAGATGGAGGGAGGTCTGCTGAGCCTTCTGTCCAAGGTTTCTTCCTTTTCTCGGCCTCCAAGAGGCCATGGGGACAGTGCCACGTGCATTGCTCCTGAGCTCCTCTGCACAATCCTTTGCCAGTCTGCTTCATCCCTTCCTACCCAGATCTGTCCTTCCTCTCTTCCTTCAAATAAGCCAGTCCCCAGCTCCCCGCATGGCATCCCTGCCTAGTATTGCAAAGATCTTCACACTGTACCTTCTGATTCAACGTGCTTCCTTCACCCCCTCCAGATGTTACCCCAGCTGCTGTGTCCAGATGAGGGGAGGGATCCAAGGTGGAGTGGCCTCCCTGAGGTCACAGAGCAGGGGACAGAGCCTGCAGGGCCTCCTGCTTCATGCCTAGGACAAGGACCCTTCCACTAAACCTAAAATGCTCTATCATCTTTTTCCTGGGTCTTAAGTCGCATATCTTGAGCGCACGCACTCCCTTATGAAGACTGAAGGGAAACAGGGTCTCCTGACAGACTATCTCAAGGCCTAGCTCTGGGCAGCTATTAGTGCTATTTGAAAGGTGAATTTTCCTGTTTGTTGTCTGTTTCTGTACTTCGAGACATGGTCTCACTCTGTAACCCCAGCTGACCTGGTGCTCTCCATGCGGTTTAGCCTACCCTTGAACTCATAGCCCCTGTCTCAGATTACTGAGTGCTGCCATTACAAGTACGTGTCTTCAAAGTTCTTGTTTGGGGGACTGGAGAGATGGCTTAGCAGTACACTGACTGCTCTTGCAGAGGACCCGAGTTCAATCTCCAGCACCCACATGGTGGCTAACAACCATCCGTAACTCCTGTTCCAGGTGATCTGATGCCCTCTACTGACCTACATGGGCATTGCAAAACATGAGTGTGCTTACACACATGCAGGCAATACACCCATAAAAAATAATTTTTTTTAAGTTCTTATTTGTTTTTATGATCTTGTTGGTTCCTCTAAATCAGAATTTAATGATTTAAGACTGTCCCCAGCCTGGGAAGGTTGTGGGAAGTAAACAGAGCTTCCCCTCGCTCAGGTTTGCTGATCGTCAAGGCCACTGGAAGGGCAGGAGGAGGAGCTCAACCAGGGGCCAAGGTCACTTGGATCGATGGAATTGTGACTTTGACCAAGAGCAGCAAAGGCCGAAGGCAGAGCTGACCCACAGCCTCATCTTGAAACAACCATAATGTCTTTCAAATTCTTTTGCTCCGCAAACACCTCCACTCCTCTGGCTGCTCCTGCTCACAATGTGCAGTTTTGCTTTGGGTTCTGAGGCAGAGTCTCAGTATGTAGCCCAGGCTGACTCAGAACATGTGGAGATGCTCCCAACCAGCCTCTCAAGAGCTGGAAGTACAGGTATACGCCACCATGCCCAGACTGACATGAGCACTTTTAGATGAACTCATTGAGTCAGATGAGACTGATGTGATTAAGCTGCCCTCTGGCCCTGTCTCTCACGTACAGTGCTCACTGGTGACACTACAGTTGACTGCATTAAATCAATGCCTGTTGGCAACTGTGGCATTCACCTGGTGACCCACCAGGGCCACATCCGTTCACCTGAGCACGCATCCTACCCTGGCTTGGTGCCTGCTGCCCTCCAGCACAGGACCCTGAGGACAGCACGGCTCTGGCTGCTGGAGTGGCGGCAATCTCTTGTCCTTTCTCTTTGCTCTTCCATCAGTGCTCACCAAGGGCTCTATAGCCCACAGAGAAGGGAAACTGCTGTGTGCTGCACCCCTCTTCGGTGTCTGCGGACCCTGTTCATGCCCCGACTTTCCCACATGGCAGCTCCATGAGACAGAACTTGTCACAAATACATTCCCTGGAGTAAAGCAGGATCCCCAAGGACAGGCCATCAGGGATACCCAGCATATGATCTCAGGGTGACAGACTGCTCTCAAGTCACTCTATCAGTGAGCCCAGAGAGTCACGCACCTAATGCCAGCTCTCCTGTGGCATTCAAGCTGGTAGAGCACCACTCACAGGGCTCAGTAGACTTCAGAAGGCACCGGAGATGCCAGGTCTTCTCAGTGTACAGGTGGGAAACAGGATGATATAGATAAGGGTAGGATAGTGGCAGGATACCTCTGCTCCTGGGACTCACTGGGTATCTTAAGGATAAGTGATCACACTCTAATGGAAGGGACTTTTAGAAGTGTTTTGTGGAATAAGAAAAAGGGTGGTGACCTGAAGAAAGTGGGCCGGGAAAGGTGGGAGGCAGTTTGAGGAGGTAACAGGAGGAAGTCTTTGCAAAACGAAGGAGAATCAGCCTGTGTCCACCTGCACCCACCTGCACCCATCTGCACCCAGCTATGTCTGTCTGGGCCCTGGTGTGAAAGAAGGGGCTGCACAGGGAGTTGTCAGCTCTAGTGTAGTGCCCTGGGGTCGGGACACATACCTGGCTGTTACTGGCATGGGGTGACAGAGGAGAGGAAGGGGACATAGCAAAGATAAGCTGAGGCAACTCACCGCATGTCCGGAAGGCCCAGGTTTTCCTGGGAAGCCAAGCTCTCCTGGTAAACCCTTGAAAAGGAAAACCGGAAACTGTCAGTCTACTCAGAGATCAGACCGAGCCTTGTCCCAGCACCATGTCTGAAGGAAAACCGGAAACTGTCAGTCTACTCAGAGATCAGACCGAGCCTTGTCCCAGCACCATGTCTGAAGGAAAACCGGAAACTGTCAGTCTACTCAGAGGTCAGACCGAGCCTTGTCCCAGCACCATGTCTGAAGGAAAACCGGAAACTGTCAGTCTACTCAGAGATCAGACCGAGCCTTGTCCCAGCACCATGTCTGAAGGAAAACCGGAAACTGTCAGTCTACTCAGAGATCAGACCGAGGCTTGTCCCAGCACCATGTCTGAAGGAAAACCGGAAACTGTCAGTCTACTCAGAGATCAGACCGAGCCTTGTCCCAGCACCATGTCTGAAGGAAAACCGGAAACTGTCAGTCTACTCAGAGATCAGACCGAGGGCCTTGTCCCAGCACCATGTCTGAAGGAAAACCGGAAACTGTCAGTCTACTCAGAGATCAGACCGAGGCTTGTCCCAGCACCATGTCTGAAGGAAAACCGGAAACTGTCAGTCTACTCAGAGATCAGACCGAGCCTTGTCCCAGCACCATGTCTGAAGGAAAACCGGAAACTGTCAGTCTACTCAGAGATCAGACCGAGCCTTGTCCCAGCACCATGTCTGGCTCAGTCTCAGGTCTCTGACTCTGAAGATATCCTCAGTGCCAGCCACTGTGAAACAAAGACTTGCCCCGATCCACAGCTGGTGAACTCACAGCTTCCTGCTCTGCAGCGGCAGGCCCCTGCCATGTCCCAGCTGCCAACTCATAGAGAGAAAGCCTCACCTCCTCTGCCCACTGCTGGGTCTACCCTCCCCAGTACCTGCTGTGGGAACAGCTCCTGGTCATAACCACTATGAAAGCTTGAACAGACTGCCCAGCACACCCCACCTCCTAGTCCATGTGTAAAGATGGCGCCAAAGTGTTTGGTTGGTTCACAAGTTACTTCTAACTACTGGAGCCCAAGAGCCTGTCAGTGTGGAGACTTATGGGTATCTGTACCAGAGGTCTTCCTCCCTGTCTGGGCCCTTTACTCTTTTCTTGGCCAGAGAAAAGCCATTCACTGGTCACAGAACTAAGCTCCTTTGTGAGAGAAAAAACTCAAAGCCAGCCTTACCGGGGGGCCTCCGGGTCCAGGGGGCCCTGGGACACCAGGTGGTCCAGGTGGGCCCTGTAAAGAGAGTGGGAAGGGGGATTATAAAAGCACACAGAGAAGCCTCCTGGTACAGGTTGTCCTTTGAGAGAGAAAAGGGGTAGGGAGCTCGGTGTTGTGGTAGGAGTCCAGCTCCACCTGCTCTCTCTCATTTCAAATAAAAAGGCATAGAAACACAAAAGGAAAAGTTCTAAAGCAAATTTTTAAAAACACAATATACCATATTTGTGTGATGGGTATTTAACACCTGTTTTATCATCTATTCTGCTGTATGTTTAAATTACTTGAACATTTAAGGACTATACACACATATGTGCATGCAGGCACATGCACAGAGCGGTTATCCACTCCAACGGTGAGGCCTGAGGAGCCAGTGTAAAGAGGTGATGTTTTACCTAGAAGTTCTTGGGAGTAACTACAGGGTCTAAAAAGACACGTCCGTCTTATGTGCTTTTAGGTACGCACCCAGCATCCAGAGGTCACCAAGGAAAGAAGAGACAGGTTGCTAGGCCACCAGCCAGGGGTTGGTAGTAACCACACAATGCTGGGGACCCGGGAGAGGATAAGGATTTAGTATTGTGAGTATTTCCAGGGCCGCAGCAGCTCTTCCCAGTGACCCCTCCTCTTAGAGTTCACACGCTCAGGCAGATAGCAGTAGAGGACTTGAGGGGCTCCTGATTCTGATGGTTCCAGTACCTACAGAAGGCCTGTGCTTGCCCCCGCCCCTCTCTTGATGTGCCCCCCCACCTCTTTATCCTTGGATGTCTCTTCCCTCCTGAGGTGGAGTCCAGTTCCCCACAGGTACAGTCAATTTTCTGTCTTCTATTGTCACAGCCAGGGTAACTGTTTATCTCACCTTCACACCCTCAAGGATCAAATGTTCTCGTTCTAACATCTCACAGGGAGATTCCCGCAGAGCAGGACAGAGGGCAGGTACTCAGAAAATGCCAGAAGTCTCCTACTTTTAGGGGAATTTTTGCATTTGGAGAATGCAAAAAAAAAAAAAAAAAAAAGATAGTAAACGGCCACCAGAGGGCGATAAACACTAAAGAATGACAGAGACATTGCAATCACGAACTGTTCCCTTTGCATCCACCAGGTGGCGCATGTGAGTCAGGCCCTCAAAAACAAAGACGTGCATTTACAAATAGGGCTTTGCATGGCACCCTCAGTCTCCCTTAGACCTAGTGATTACAGAGGAATGATCTGCCATCACCAGAGATGTTTGCTGTGAACCAGAGCAACTGAGGAGCCACAGAGTTGGGCACTGGCTGAGTAGGGACCAATCCCCTCCTCCTTGGAGGACAAGGGCCAGTGAAAAGGCATCTAGGGTGGCTGCCATCGCGCCCCATTGTCCACTGCCCTGCACCCATGGGCTGCCGTCCCTCAGCTCTTCTCACCTCTCTGCAAAGCACATGCCAGGCTGACCACTGTCCCTCCAATCTCACAGCACCCTGGCCCTAGCCCAGCTTAACTGCCTTCCTAGACAGACTCATAGCATTCTGCTGACAATGGGTATGTTTCCTTTTCTTACGTACATGGAGTGTTTTGTGCCTTTCAAAATACTTGTCTCAGAAAGTGAACACCCTAGTGTCTATCTCTCTCTCTCTCTCTCTCTCTCTCTCTCTCGTTTGACAGGGTCTCTCTAGCCCTGGCCCTCCTGGAAGTCACTATGTGGACCAGGTTGGCCTCAATCTCACAGGATCTGCCTGCCTCTGCCTCCCAGGTGCTGGGACTAAAGGCGTGCACCACCACGTCCGGCTATGACCATCTCATCATTATTCTGACCCTGTTCTCGTTTTTCCTTCTTCCTGTAAATGCCCTGCTGCGGTTTCTAGTACTCAGTCTCCACAGCTAGAGCTGGTCTTCAGTGACTGTTGAGTAAGAAATGAAACCTCCAGTATTGACTGGCCCAAGAGGTAAAGCATCCTGCTGGAGGTCACACAGCTGTCCTCTCCAGGTGGAAGAGGAATATGGCTCCTGAAGGGTCCTAGAGTGCCATACCTGGATCACTGGCCATACACACAGGGACGGGGGGCCCCGTTCAGACTCCAGGGCAGTAGGCTTGGATTGCATGCTTAAGGTCAGGGGCTGGTAGCCCCGATGTTCTTCGGTAGGGGATCATTTGGTCACCAGCTCCATCCACATCCATCCCCACCACAGCCCTGCCCAGGTAGCTGTACTAAGACTATCTCAGGGAGGAGGAGTGCAGTTACACATGGAAAGCAGAACCCAGGAGAATCACCAGAGCTGAGTGTTCTGGCTGGTATTTGCACTGCCCAGGTTTTATCTCATTTTAGATCCCCATGCTGATCAAGGGAGGCAGCCCTTGATAGCCTGCATTGCAGAGGAGGAAGAAAAACTTGGAACAAAATTAACTGGGGTCCACAGAGTTGACTGGCATTGGGATAGCTCCCTCTAAACTGTTCTACCCACCCCAAAAACCCTGGACCCCAGCCTTGCCTTCACACAGGGCCCCTCAGGACATGGGTCATGCCCCTCCCCCACCCCCAAGCTCCATTCTCCTATTGAAGGAGAATCTAGAATCTAAATATAGGTTTGAGATCACTTACTTTAAAACCATAGACCCTGAATCCCTGATCCACACATAGCAGGGGCTTAATGAGGGTCTGCTGGGCTGCTGCAGTAAGCTCAAGCCTGGGAGGAAAGTCTTGGTAACTAAACCTCCCCACTGCGTAGCCGTGCGGAGGGGGAGAGGAAAAGGCCAGAAGCAGCTGGAAATGGCTGTCAGAGGGTCTGGAAGCTGCTCCCAGGAGACATCAAACAGCCTTCAGCCTCCATTTCCAATTTACACGGAGCATCTTGCAAGTCCAGGTGGGAAGGGGACGGACAACACAAAGCAGCAGTCAGCCTGCCCCGAGGGACCTGCGCTGATGGCCTGAGCTGGCTTCTAAAGGCAGCCGTGTCCACGGGCAGTAGGAGATGAGCATAAGCAGCTGTCTTGCCTCTGAAGCTTCTATCCAGCCTCTTCTTGCTATGGGACTCCTTGTGAAGCATGGACTCCGCTCTTACCATACCTCACTTAGTTTTTGACTCAGCCTCTGGGTAGCCATGAAGAGGGCCAACACCCCAGGTGTCAGAAGATAGTGCATGCCCTGGCCCTTGAGTCTCCAGGCAGGAGATAGTCACTCCCACACCAGGAAAGAAAGGCAGTTCTTCAAAGTTCTGACATTCCAAGAGCTATTCTTTCCTCCTGTGCCCTGTGATCTCTGGTTAGACGGACTGCTTGCTTATGTGCAAGTCCCTACAAGTGGGGTTCAGGGGAGCTCAGTGCAGCAAATGGAGGCTGTGTCTGCTACTTGCAGCCCTTAGGCAAGCACCTCGGCTTCCCTAACGCTACTGCTGATCTCTAACACCCCTCACACATATCTGGGAAGCCTATGTGGTGAGCAGCCCTTAGGCAAGCACCTCGGCTTCCCTAACGCTACTGCTGATCTCTAAAGAAAGAGGCCCTACACCCCTCACACATATCTGGGAAGCCTATGTGGTGGTGTCAGCAGGGAAATGGGCACAGAGCCCAGCAGCTGCAGCAACCACAGTGTGTGTTATTACTGTTTTGTTTTCTACCGTGCCATCTTAGCAGAGGGTCTGAGAACAGTCTCCATTAAGCATCTCTTGAATCGCATAGAATAATGAATATTGGGCAGCTTGGGAGGAGACACCCGACTCCAGGAAAGATCAGGGAGCTTGTCAAGGGCCATGGATATGAGAGGCACCTCCTTAGCCTGGCTAGCAGGGTTCACAGAGGGCAGACAAGGGTAGGCTCCCTGGCTCTGTGGTCAGAGAAAATCCCAAGCTCCCCAGGCCTGTCTCTGCTGTGAAGATGGAGGTTGTGAGGAGACTGTGAGTATTCAGACCCTTGGTTGGGAACTCAGTCCCAGCTGGGGTGGACCGAGAAACCACTGGGCTACCCAGCCTGCTGCATCCAGACCACACATGTGGACACAACCACACAGCATTTAGATCCAGAGCACTGTCTATCCCTGTCAGGGCTCCATTTGGGAAGAATGTGGACATTTCCTTGCAAGACTCGAATTTTCTTATGTTTGGTCAGTGGTTGTCCTTTGTCCAACCATGAGCGCAGCAGGGATGACACCTTTCTCTGCCTGCCTGGCCTTTCCTCTTAACCATGGCCCTATCACAGAGGAGGAATCTTGCCTGGTTTCCCTTCCAGAATTGTGGGTGCATCATGGTTGCCTCATACTACACATAACCACAGGCCACCAGACAGCAGAGAAACCCAGAATGGTCTACAGCTTCAACCCCTGTGTGCCAGGAAGATGGGGCCAGGGGGAGGCACAGCCCTGGAACTAGAGAGATGGGGTGGTCCATCTGCAGGAGAAAGATGTGGATAGAGAGTCCTGGTCTCAGCTGGAGTCTGCCACAAGTCCAGCCCTGCTAACAGCCCACTGGATGTTCAGGAAATCCAGACTTTTGGACACACTGCTCAATTACAACAAACAAACAAAAAACCCTTGAAAACTGAGAATTTAAACAGATTTTTGTAAAGGCTATGTAAATCAAATACAGCACATCTGTGGACCTAAGGTTTCTCAGGCTTGTTATCTATAGATGTTCGCTTTTCCATCCGTGAAATGAAAAAAAGTTCTCAACAGGTATAGGAGGCAGATGCTTGCCCCAAGAATGACAGCCCAGATGTGCTGAGTTCAGCATGGATGCTGTGTTTGTTCCCTACTGGCTAGAATGCCACGTCGTCATTCCCCTGAACCCACAGCAGGACCCAGACCCAGGACACAGCTCTCCTATTATTTTTGTTTGTCTTGGAGACAGGGTCTCATGTAAGTCAGGTCAGCCTTGAACTTACCACAAAGCTAAGGATGATCTTGAACTGCCAATCCTTCCTCCATCTTCCAAGTATTGGGATGACAGGTGTGCACCACACACTAGGTTTGATACAGTGCTGGGGACTGAACCCAGTGCTAGTGCTGGGGCTTCCCCGGTGCTAGGCAAGCACTCTCTGCACTGAGCCCAGGCTC